TTTTTTTATATTTAAACAAAATAAGAAAAATTGCATCATGTTTGAACCGGAACATCTTTTATGTAAAATATGTTATTCAGGACAGTACTAAATATAAAATAACATGCATTTTGATCCCTCTTATTTTGGTAAAATAATTCATATTTTGCATATTCCGCAAGGTATATGTATACTTTTGACCACAACATCACAACATACAGCGTATATATATGTATATATATACATAGCCAAAATACATGTAAAAGTAAAAGTAACTACAACTTACTGAAAATATATACTGTAGATGTAAATATAAATTTAGTTCCCATGATTTTTGGCATTTTTTGTATATTTTGAAAATAAGTATTCCAACCTTTATGGACTGTGATGTTTACTCCTTGCTGAAATGTGTACAAGAGAGGTTCAGGACCCTGAAGTCTGAAGAAAAATGTGTCACTGAATCCATCAGGAAAGTTGTGAAACACAGTGGTGCAATTTTTGTCTAAGATGTTGCCAATCACATTTCCTTTTAGAAGAGACTCTGTTTTTTCTGAACTAAGCACGTTTGGCCCCTCTATGCTTGTTTTTCTCCAAATTGTCTCAACAATTTTGTTTAGGGACTGTTTGAATGAGTCGGGGATCTCAAACTGACATGGAATTTGAACACAGAAGCCACTTATCGCATCTATTTTCTTAGGCATCTTAATTTCCCATTTGTCGCTGGCAGCACCTGCATACATCAAAACACACAGGGCACATTCAACATTCCTCATAACACCAAAGAAACTCATGTATTCAGTATTTGTTCATGGATTAATTTAGCACTAATATTTCAAACCTAACAGATCAACAAAAGCAAGTCTCTCACCTCTCAACATCCAGATTATGACAACCAGGACTTTAAGTCCACTCATACTGCTGAGATCTGGATAAAATAAATGATCACTTATAGTCAAGTAAACAGATGTGGCTTTGTAGGATGTTATATCCTCTGTTGGCACTTTGGCATTGTTTTTGCTAATAATCAATTGCTACTTTATAACTGCAAAATTATATCATTTGTATAGATTAAAAAAAAAAAATTATGTACAGAAAAAGACATGCATAAGCATGTGTGTAGACACATAGCACACATAGATTGTAGAGGAACTGAAATTATTAAATTAATACTAGACTACTGAATATTTGGTTTATAATCATAAATAACCAGAAACCTTTACCTGATGCGGAGCTGTCAGACATTCACTTCACAACTTAACAAATGAAATAAAAGAGGAACACTGGAAACATTGGAGTTTCATCACCAGTTAAGTAAAAAAAGAAAACTATTACAAAATACATTTCTTCTTCTTAAGGTCAAATGTGTTTCAAAAGGAATTTTATGTAAAGATACCTAAACTGGTGTGCAATCTGAGGCCTTTTAAGGCAAGACACCACAGGTGAATAGTGTAAAAAACTACTATGGATTTCACCACACTTCCGCAGTTGATTAAGCACGGTTCTGCATTATGTATTTGCACGGTTCTGCATTACAAGTTTTCTCAAATATTATGTTGAAGTATAAAAATGATCTAATTCAGTATTTGCAAGTTTGCATACATTTTTATATAACAGAAATCTGAAGATTGGATAAAGTTAGGTTCAGAATTCTTTTTTCTTTTTGTTGATATATAAGATTTATATAAGTTTTCACATTGGGGATTTTGTATATATCTAATTTATCACTCTATAAATCAGAAAATACTGTCAAATAAAATATATAAATCAGGTGAATGATATACAAACAAACCCCCTGTAAAAACCTTCAGAATATACAGTGGGTACGGAAAGTATTCAGACCCCCTTAAA